CTGGCCCCTAAGTTAACTTCTTCTCTGGGTGGTCTATAAATTGGGTCGTTAGCAATTTGTTCTATAACAGGCATGTTTGCTCGAAATCCCGCCTGATTCTGCCTACGCCTTTCTGGGGGAGCAAAGAAATCTGCTATTCGACTCATGTTGTCAGCGTTTTCCCTGTTTGTCACAGTCACATTTTGCACTATTGGGGCAAATATCTCCTGCATGGTTTGTGCTAACACCCCTATCATATTATGGTTACTGTCATCCATCAATTGTCTAAAAGCCAACTGGTTTTCTGTGGTTAAAATAGGCATTGTGCTATAACCCACTGACCCTTGGTTATTTGTCATAAACTGATTCGCCCCAGACCCAGACCCTAGTTGTGGGGATGAATTCGATGTGGAATTGTGTAAACCTGCCATAAAAGATGTTGGCATTCCATAAGAGGAATTTCTGGTCCTATTTCCATCGAAACCGGGTGGTCTAGTCAATGGAGTGGCGAAATGGGATTGTGTCCCTGATGGTGGAACGAATCCCCCAGGGTAACCAATGGTTCCAGTATTTCCTAAGATCGAACTATTAGTTGATATGCCACTTACTCCATTGGTGGCTATATTACTGGTTGAAGATGCAACAGACTGTGCATTTGAAGGGATCACATTAGATGTTCCGATCGAAGTGGACACATTAGTGCCTGTTGTATGTGGGGCATTTTGTTCCCCTTGTTGATTGTCAGAATTAGACATTTTGTCCAAACGTTTTCTTCTGGATAAAGATTGGTTGCTGTTGGTTATTTTACCACTTCTCAGGTTCATAAAACAGCAAACTTCTTAGGTTCCAACGTTTTTATAATGGTTATGTCTCAACAATGTTTATTTCTAATATCCAATTATTGGTCCCACCGGGTGTGCCAATTTGTTTCCAGTGATTTCTGGTAAACAACCGCTAGTCTTCCAAACTATCGAATAATCTTTCTGACTGTTATTCAATTCCTCTGGTAACTCACATGATCGACTAGATTGATCCTAGGATTCCTTGGTCATTAGGGTAACTCTCATGATCGAACAGATATTCATGGTTGATATTTGAGTGTTGTATAGGTGTTTGGCTTATTTCGATTTCTCTCTTAAGGGTCTAAAGATGTAATCAAAATGTGTGTGTACGAAACTAAGTTGCATGAATAAATGTTAATTGTAAAGACATGTAAAATTGCATAAAAGGCAAGTAAATGGTTTCGAATTATAAAAACAGTTAATGTAAAGGATTTTCTGGAACGTAAAAGGTTTGAAATATGAAGAAAGCGTTTAATGCAAGAAATCTGTAAATGATTTTAAGTAAAAATAGGCGTTCGAAGGATAAAGCTTGAAGGTAAAGGCATGGAAAGTATGACAGTTTTCTGAAATGTAAAGTGCTTGAAAAGTGAAGAAAGCATTGAAATGTAAAACTTTAATGAAGAGATTTCGAAGTGAAAAGACTGTAAATGAGAAAACTTATAAATGTTATTCGACAGAAAGATAAAGGAAAGTGCTGGAAATGGTAAAAGGTTTTCATTAAATCATAAATATATGGTGCTATCATACGTACATTGCTCTTGCATTCGTTTCCCTTGCCATGTGGTAGTTTGAATGTTACTGAGTATTTAGTACAATAGATATGACACACGAAATCCTAATACTAAGACTTCTATTTATACTAATTCGACCATAACGGTCTTGCTATAGGATTATGCCACGTTCAGAACATGCAGAACAATGCCTCTTTCTTCTTTCCACGTGTCTCCAAATGCTCCAGCACATAAATTTCAAACTTCGAATGTCCCGCTTCCATTTGAATTTCAAATGCTTTGGTACTTCTCCGTTTCGAACGCACTTCCCAGACACAGCCTTGTTGTTATTTCGAGACTTCTTTAGATATGTTCCCATAATTGCCACTCGAAGCTCCAGCTTTGACATGCTTATTCGAAACACTGCTCCTGCTACTTCGAAACATGACGCTTTGCTTCATTTCGATCGAAACGTTTAATTCATTTGGCTTCTAATAATATTATCAAAATCTTCAGCCAACAAATTGCCCCTTTAAAATATGTATTTCGATTTCTCTGAGAAATACCTATTTTAAACATCTACACAAGATTTTGATGTGACCTTCGAATCATCGTAACATTTAATGCATTTGACTCCAGTCACGTCAATCATAGCGCTTTTTGGATTCCTTAACCGCCTGGAGCCACTTCACAGTATGGTGCAGTTACAAACAATGATTATCTTTAAATCACGCCTATTACCCATGTTAACTTTACGCCACCTCTTCATCACACCAACCCATGATTTCCACGTATCACACCCTTATTCAGTGGATGCTTAAACTTCTCCATTATAAAACATCACCAACTTAATCTTTTCCTTTTCTTTTCACACTCTGAATCTTTTACCCTCCTTCTCTCGTCAAAAAACCCAAGCTTTCAACATCCTTCAAAAATGTCTTCTTCTACTTCATCCCAACTCAAGAAAGTCTCCAAGAAGAAAGGAAAAACTGCAGGAACTACCATGGAAAGTAAGATTATCACTCACCAAGGTCAATCCGTTCTTGCCCCTCAGATGATTTCAAAGGAAAAAGAAATATTGTATGCGTCACAGGTACTCATTCCTACCACCGTTGCTGGTAAGAGGTTAGCTTTAAATGGCCCTCTTACGGTTTTTGAAATATTAAAAGACACCAGGACGATTTTCCCAGTTTGTTATAGTTTTAAACCCTTGTTTAACAAACTGGACGCCCCTAAGGCAATAGAATCTTCTAGTTCAAATACCATAGAAAACCCAACTGTTCCTCCTAAGGACCCCTTTGTATTGGATTATGTAAAAAGTAATTTTAAGCCATTTCGATCTTGCCCCACCTCTGATACTGCTTATCAAAATTGGTTCAAGAAAGTAGAAGCTAAGAAATCCCAGCAATGGGAAGAATTAGGTATCTATAACCTGATTAAGCTATCGAAGCCTGGTTTCACCTACAGCCACCCTCTGCTATTCGCGTCCCTCTATTTCTGGGACAGTACCTATAACACTTTCCATCTCCCAGGTGGAATGATCACCCCAACCTTCTTCGACATAGCGGCCATCACTGGGCTATCGCCAGTAGGAGAAACTTATATCAATAAAATATATGAAATTGATTAATCTCATAATTTTATATTATTACTTCTTAAAACAAAAAATAATAGTTTAACTAAAAAAATAGTTTCTATATTTAAAAAAAAAAACATTTTATTATTATAATATTTTATATTAGTAAACAGTAAAATACAGTGTACATAGAAAATAAGATAAAAATATCATTTCTCTTCATTTTTATAAACCAAGCAAGGCACGTACGTATATATAAATATATAATAAACGTGTGTCCACAACAATACTGAATTTATTGACCAAGCAAATAAATAAAATACGAGGAATTGGTCAAAGAAGAATATTATAAAAAAGTTGTAAATATTCTAATAATACCAATACTTAAAAATTCTAAAATATCAAATAATATCTATTTTATTTGAGAGTTCGTCAATATCTTTTACTTTAAGCAAGATTTACCTCTATTTATAACCCAAAGAAAAAAACTTCTCACGTGTCTGGTCCACATATCATCCTCACACCATTTATTATCAGATTCATCCCTACATCTTTAAAAGAAGTATTTGAAATGTTTTCATCGAATGTGTCTATTCTATAAATAAATTTTTTTTTTTTTAAATTTGTAATAGATTTACATGTTAGAAAAGAAAATTTAATATATTATTATGACAAACAATAAATTGATATAACTGCTACGTAATTACTACTATCTCTGGTCTTAAATATAATAAAAACTTTATTTTTTTAGATTTATTGGAAATTCAACATATTAAAACTTATATATAATCTAAAAGATAATTTTTTTATATTAAAGACTAGAGGAGTAAGAGATTTAGATCAATAATAAATCTCAATCTGATCCACCCGTAGAATACAAGAGTGTGTCGGAATCAATAGTATTTAATAATTTTAACTACATAAAAAATTGTTTGAAAATTTAATATTATCACTCTTAACATTTCATTTTTGGAAAATTGAGTTTAAAATATAACAGAATTCAAATCAGGAACTACTTAATCAAATAAATATGAATTCAAATCATCAAAACAAAATTTGAAGTTAATCTCGATAGCTAAAATAATGTGTGTATATAGGGAGAAAAAAACAAAATGTTTCTTAATGTAATTAAAGTTTTAGATAAGTAATTCACAATTTTAAACACAATTTTTTTAATAGTTAAAAAATATAAATTGAAAAACAAACACCTCCTCAATTTTGTGAAATATGACTAATCATATGTAAACCAATTATGTTTTTCATACGAGAAAAAAATTTGAAAACATGGTTTATTAAAATGCATCAAAACTCCATTTCAAAAAAATGATATTTAATTTAATAAAAAGAAAAACATGATATTTGAAAGAATGCATTTAATTAATATAGCCTACTCTATTTAGTGAAATAAATATGGTTATTGTTTTCTCACAACTGATAAAAATCTCATCTCTTTCGGATTCAAAGTTTTCTTCTCCCAACACTAATGAGATCAGATGTTGGCACATTCAAATGCACAACACTTTGGTTTAATAACACATAAGTGTTGTTCATATCACGGCAGGCCGAATAATATATATCCGATATATAAAGCAAAGAAATAAATGTATAAAACTTCCGCATCAAAGTTAAAATTAAACTACTACCGAGAATTCGTTTAAAGTTCTCGCATTTAACTGTTCAAAAAAATTATATAGCGAAATAGAGTTGACTACGAAGAAGAACGACACTCTTCCATTTCTTCCTCAACGATGAAGGAAGGTGAGAGGTCGCTGTGTTGCAAAAGAATGTTGTTATAAACAGGATATTAAGTATCATGTTCAAGTTGGTCTAAAATTTGTTTCAGCCTAAATACTAGAGAAAAATAGTAGCCTCCGATGTAAATCATCTGCCATGTCAACCTGAAAATCCAAACGCAAAACGCAAAAGAACTGTGAATTGATGAAGCTTAATAATAATTATACTACATATGATAAACTTGCGAACAAAATCTTACGAGTTGGATCCCATGAAAATTGATCAGCTGGATTCCAGCTAATACCTGAGAAAGTAGGCTGCGCATATTTCATAGATTAGTTTCTCCTTTAAGCTAACCAAATGTAAATTTTAACTAAATTTTCAAAATGTATTTTAGAAAGATCGACAGATAACGATCATATTTTTTGTCCGCACCTGAGTTTCAGGAGGTTTTGAAGATTGTTCTCCCCCTATAACTTGATGATTACGTACATCAGCTTGCTGAAACAGCTCCTTTGTTACGATGGATTGGGGTTGAGATGATAATTGTAAATCAATTGAGGGTAAATGTAAATCACTTGAGGAGGGCAATGTATCACATTTACCTCCATCAAGCATTGGACTTAGTGCATTGGCAAAACCGAAACAATCAGTTATAGCACCCTCGGTCAACTCATCATCCCACTCTATTATTTCTGCGGGAGACTCCAATTCACCGCATTTCTCATTTGCCTCTACTTGTTCCAACAGATCTGAAACTGAATCATCAGCTAATGAGCTATAATCAGTTTCGCCAAAGATTGCGGCCAGCCATGAAGGTGCGTCCAGTGGTGGATGAACTACATCAGATTGAATTACATTAGAGTGAATTACATCATAGGCTCTCCAGTTCTGACCAGAAGATTGCCCTGAATTCACTTCATTGTCAGATTGTTTTTGATCACTCTGGCCACTATTACTCGGACCCTCAGAAAACCTATTGGAACCCAAATTTACATTCTCTTCCAATTTTTCTTCATTCTCATTACCGTCCACCATTTTATCCAAAGGCGGTTTTTCATTCAAATTCTCATCAAAGACGGTTGAAGGTAGTGCAGGTTGCACGTCAGTAGCATCATGACAAGAAACTTCACATTTGGAAGACTCTTCCCTTCTTTCAAAATGACCACTTTGGCCATCACTGATATTCCCATCCCCTTGTGTAGTCAGACCGGGAGACGGAGTGTACCCACTGTTGCTGATATTCCCATCCCCTTGTGTAGTCAAACCAGGAGACGGAGTGTACCCACTGTTGCTCTTAACAGACTCATCTTTACCATTAGATTGGGTACAAATATTAGTGATATTCCCATCCCCTTGTATAGTCAAACCAGGAGACTGAGTTAGCCCACCAATGCTCTTAACAGATTCATCTTTACCATTAGATTGGGTACAAATATTCCCATCCCCTTGTATAGTCAAACCAGGAGACAAAGTGTGCCCACCGTTGCTCTTAACAGGTTCATCTTTACCATTAGATCGGGTACAAATACTCCCATCCCCTTGTATAGTCAAACCAGGAGACGGAGTGTGCCCACTGTTGCTCTTAACAGATTCTTTATCATTAGATTGGGTACAAATATCAGCAACTTTTACATCCCCAATCAGCTTGACAATTTGGTCGTTAGCACAAACTTCACTCCTTGTTGCAATGTTAAGACCATCCTGACTATTTTCTTTATTTTCCAACGAAACACCGGCCCCCAAAGACGGTTGTTCATGGTTGAGTGGCGATGGTACATTCTGGGAACACTTCCAACTCAGTGCATCCGTCAACAATATAGATTTCTCTTGTTTTTCACTCCATATTCTGAGATGTGGAGGTAAATATCCAGTTCCTTTCCACTTGCGCAGCAACGACATACTAAAAGGACCGTGAACCTTCCCAGTTGGATCCTGATAATGCCAGACTGCCTGTTCCATCTCCGTAGAGTGAAGTAAGAATAAAATGTCTTTTGGAACACCAGACTCTACTAATCTCAAATCTCCAGCATTAGTGTCACCATGGTTCTTTAATACATGTTTATTCTCATTTAGCTCACCGGTAGTGGACAAGTCTTGTACATTGCGTCCAGCACTGTACGATACACTGTCGTCAATATTTCCCTTAGCTTTTTTGTTTACTGGACTATTTGAATTTATTATACATGAATTCTCGGAACCATAACCGTTGTCAACTTTGCGAATTCCTGAAAAAATTTGGGGAGCTTGAACATTGCAGCTTACACGAACAGCACCTTTCCATGGACTTTTAGCTCGAAGGACCTCATCGAAATTCAGAGATATTTTTCCTTTCAAGTACATCCAATACACCTTGAAAAGATACTCCCAGCTGCCTTTGTCATCAAAATCTACTTCGCACTAAAAAAGTAGGACAAGGACATCAAAAGATAAAAGTAAGACGATTAAGCATTCATCTATCATTAACTTAACATCTAGTGACACACTATCCCCCACCTCCCTTCTCTCCCTAACACTCAGGATAAAGGGAGAGGGAGGGAAAATTAGTACTAATCTGCATTCATAAGAAAGTTCATCAAGCCATTACCTTAATTCCCCGGGCACTGTTTTCAATCAGTACTATAGTCCTCATGCATACTCCACACAAACCTTTGTTTCCTCTAACACTAACAAAATCAACTTCTTTTTTTGTACAACCCTTGCATAAGGAATATGTACAAGTATAGCACATGTAGTGGCATGATTTTCCACAATCATTACATTGATGCCAACCTAAGCAGTTCAAAAATGAATCTTTAGTTAATGCCGTTAGACACTCGATAAAAATAAAAATCCACAAGAAAGAAAGTGATCAACTAGTCAAAGTAAGGAAGCTGCACTAATTAGCAAACATAATAATCACGAGATTGCAGTGTAAGAAAATAAATTAATAGCATTAAGAAATATTGAATTGAATCTGCATAATCTAAGAATCTATCCACGTGTTTCCCGCAAAAACACTAATAAGCCATGCATCACAATCTATTGTACAGAACACAATCTACAATCTATACAAGGGATCTAATGTCACTAGCACATTCATCTTTTTCCTTCTAAATCAATGGATCCTTAACACAATCATCTAATCAGTTGATCAACCTTAATTTTTCATTCAGGTTTTGTGAGCCTATACATGTAATCAATCAATCAATCAATCAATCCACTCAACTTTTCATTATGTGTTTTAGTACCATCCAGGATCAACATACTTGGCCGGTACTCACCAGACACGAATAGACATGAAAAAGCGGACACATTGAAAATCAAATTTTAAACTTTGAGATCAAGGAAGAGATAAATAGGGCTACACCACCCATCAACAATCACCATTCCTTGATCCACAACAATTTCCATAAACAATAACACAATGAATGAATACCAAAAGAGGGAAAACAAAGCGCCCAAACCTCAAATAAATGAAAAGGAAAGTTTTGAGTATCTATGCAGCAACAGTTTCTCAGTTCAGTTCAGCCAGCATGACAAAGACACAAAAGTTATAGTTTCAAAAAGAAAGAATTCAAAAGTCATTTATAAATCAGATTTCATAGTCAATAAAAACATTGATCAGATTTCAAACTCAAACTATGATCAAATTCATCATCAAGAAAAGCAATGATATGATCAGTTTCATACTCAGTTAAAACAATATTCGGATTCCAAATTCATAAAAAAAACTGATCAGATTTCGTTCCAATGATATAACATATCTAATACCTTTGAACATACAATAATTTTCTCTTATATCATATAGGCAAACAAACATATAACATTATCCAACTTATAATAAATATAAGTCAGTTGGAACACATTAACAAGCATGTAAATGGCTACATTAAACTGCATTTTAATAAAAACAATCATACCACAACTCCATCTCTCGGTAGCACGAAAAAAGTCCTCTCCCCGCTTCACACATGCAAGATGATATGCCTTAGGGCAACCCCTGAAACAATCGAGAGAAACAAAATTAAATCACACATTAAAAGTTGAATTTGCTCTTAAAAAATCAAGATTGCGACGGGGACGCGAACTCACCGATGATCACAAAGAACAAGCGAACCACCATCAAAGCAAATAAAACAAACATCCTCTTCATCCTTCACCTGCTTCTTAGGAAGCTGAGTCCGCGGAAGAGAGCCTCTTGGCGGACGACCACGCTTCCTTTTCACAACTGTATCTACTGGCACCGTCGCACCAGCCTCAGTGTTGAGAGAGTTGACTCCGATCATTTGAGAATTCTCAAAAACCCTAACATCTCCCGTCACCGTCACCGGCTGCGAAATCGGTTGCACATGCTGTTCGTCCATGCTCAATTCGAATCGAAAGTTTCAAAGTAACAAAAACAAAATTAAAAAAACTCAAGAAAAAGAGTTGAATTGCGAAATCGAAACCCTAGCAATTGGGAATCGGCGATTTGATCTGATATGGTTAGCAGTAGTGGACACACAACACGTAAAAGAAAATCGAAATTCGCGAATGGACTAAGTGCAGATGATGTAACAACATGTTGTTACTCTTTTTATTTTTGTTTCTTACCTTATTTAATTTCCACTTTTTTTATCATATATAGTCAAAGAATAAACATTTTATCTTTTCACCTTTTGTAACAATAAATATAATATTTTAATAACTTGTTGGAGTATTTGGTAATAGGAACTGTTTGTAATGATGATGATTTTGCTAAAAAACAACAACAGTTGAATGAAATGAGAAAGGCGAGGATTGAGCGTGTCCGAATCTGGGTCTCTCGAAATGCACGTGGTTAGTTGTCATCAGCGGAAAGATCACACCATATGTGGGACCCACACTAGTCTATTTTCATCCACGACATAAACATGATCCAAATCATACCCTTCTTTCTCTATTTAGTCATCCTATATATTTTTGGTCTTGCATTTCCCACCAGTGGTAGTTAGGTAAACTATCTTTTATATTTTTTTTATATCATCTAGATAATATTACTTCTATTAAAATTTACTTGGATTCACTGTACTTTGCCGACCATTGATTTACGAAAATAAATACTATATGCGCTTCTTAGATAAATTGATTTTAATAATAAAATTAATATTATTTATTAAAATATTCTTATTTATTATAGTCAATAAAAAAGTTGAAAAATATAAAATTAATAAATAAAAATATAACATAAAAAAAGTAATAAATATTATATTAATATTTTAAAGAAACATTTATTTTGAGACATAAAAAAAATATAAAAGAAATACTTATTATGAATTGGAAAAAATACTAGTTAACAAAATTATTAAATAATTTTTATTTTATTCTTTCTAGAGTGTTTTTTAATAGAAAAAGATTCTTTTTTTAAGAAAAAGTATTTCTTTTTAATAAAAAAATACTTTTACATTTTTATTCCTTCTTAAGAAAGAATAAATTGATATTTATCAATTTTATTATCATTTTTATTTATAGTAAATCCTTTTAATATTATTTTTTGCAAATGGAAAGTTAAAGAGTATGGTTCGGAGGTATAAAATGTTTATCAATGGTAGATTAATTTAATTTAAATTTTATGTTGTTTAAATAATTATAATTTATTTTTAAATTATTTAGACTAATTTATAATTTTAGTTCAAATTTTATCTTACTTATGAAATTCATTTATTTATTTCAAATTCAAATAATTTTGTCTCCTTTTACGCTTATAAAAAAATCAATAAGATTTTCGTTTTAAATTTATATTTGTATCTACAAATTTTTAATATATATATATATATATATATATATATATATATATATATATATATATATATATATATATATATATATATATATATATATATATATATATATATAATAATAATAATAATAATAATAATTTATCATATTTTATAAAAAATATTATCATTTATATGAGTGAGCAAAACTCTTTGAATTTAAAATATAATATTAGTTTTGAAAATCAGGTAAAATAGGAGATCAAAATTGTCTAAATTTAAAATATGAGATAAATTTTAGAAATCAAATAAAATAGTAAATCAAAATTATAATTAAATCATTTGTTTATTTTAAATATTAAATATTATTTTATTTGACCACTTTTTAATATTTTAGAATGTTATTAGTTCTAATATTGTTAACATATTCGTTGTTTTCTATTTATTACATAAATAATAATCATATAAAAAAACGTAATTTTTATCTAAAATTTCAATTATTAAACAATTTTTTTCAATGATAAACAATATTTTATTTGACTATTTTTTAAATATTTTATAATACTATTTACCTTTTATAAAAGTAATATAAATGTTTTTTTTAAATAATAAATAATTAGAGATGACAAATAATCAAGTCTATCTCATTTAAATACGTCTCGTAAAATTTTAAAAAATAAAATAAATACAATAGAGCGAATATAATTGAGGCCGTGGGATTAAAATTTTGATCTTTTCTGCATAAAAAATAAGGATGAAACGGGTCGGCTTCGTGGATATTCCACATTTTAAATTTAAATATATAAAATTTATGTTAATATTTGTGCCTACAAACACCTGCAAAAAAAAAATACAAGGTGGAACAAATGTATTAAATGATATTGACCTATACTTTTGGTCTGTCTTGCAACACGCTCGAGCAAAATGGACATGCCTAATAAATCGTGTCTCTTTTGTCATTTCTATAAATAATATTTTATTTGAACCATTTTTAATATTTATAATATTAATTTTTATTTTAAAATAAATAATATAATTATTTTTCTTTTAAAATGATAAATAATGCTTTATTAGACCACATTCTAATATTTTATAATATTTTATATTTTGAAAAACAATATTAATTTTTATTCAAAATTTAGGTTTGATTGTAGTTTTGATCCAAATATTTTAGATAGTTAACTAAATTAATCTTTGTTCTGGACTGGGTCTGTCCTGGCCTAAAAGTAAGAACAAAGGTCCAATCCAAGCAGCTCCTCGAGGAACGCGCGCCCGCGGATTCCCGCCAGCGCGCCCGACCACAGACTGCAGCCGTGCCCGCCGTTGTCCGTGACACATGGTGTCTCCGACCACGGGAACTCCAGCTCGAGGCCAACTCGAGCATCATCCTCGTAGAGCAGATTTTGATCGTTACCAAATCATCTAAACTCCGGAAAGACCGCGTCTTCGTCCCTCCTCATTTCTCGCAGAGCATCACCAGGAAGGGGGCCACGTGCGGGTCCCCACTACACACGTAGAACCTGGCAGTTCCTTTATTGGGCTAATTCTGGTCGGCCCAATGAGGGGACCTTGGCCCCGCGCTGGGGGATATAAATACCCTCTGCTCCTAGAGGGTCAGGTATTCATCTCTTACGCATACATACACTTTTTGCCTGCTCATTCCGTCACTCATTTTAGCATCGGAGTGCCTCGCAGGTACCCCCCCATCTCGCTCAAATTCTGCCCGGAGCCAGTCGTGACGGTCCAAGTCTGATCAGGTAAGATCAGTGGCGCCGTCTGTGGGAATCTAGCTTCCCCGTCTTGCAAAACCTCGAAGACCAAAGCTCAAAATCACCTCCTACCGTCATGGCTGACCAAGTTCGGGATGACCAGAACGTCCGCGTCATCGACACCAACAACGGCCTCGCAGATAAAATGGAATCCCCGACAATACCGGGAACCCCGGCCATAACACACTCCCTGGGGGGACCATCCCCGGGCCCTCAGTCCATCGCGACGGAGCTACTGCCTCATCTTTCTCAGTCCCTCCGCCACTCGAAGAGGACAACACAGCTCCCCAAAACTATCGAGCTGCCCAATTTCAGGAAGTCCTTGTCCCCGCCGGGGCAGATACCACAACCCGCGCACTATTCGCGGCGATCAACCAAACCAATTACCTCATCTTTGCCCAGGGGAAAGATTGAGGGCGCTAGAAGACCCGCGAGGAGACACAGGAGGCCCCAGACTCCACCTCCTCGAGTGACAGAGGTACATCTTCCGTCTCCCCCGCGGAGACAATACAGAGACACCTCCCGAAGCCCGTCGCCCCGACCCTCGGGGAGACGACCCCCTTGGAGAGGCAACCCGTCATTGAAGCCGGAGGGCGCAACCATGGCCCCATACGGTAAGAAAGAAGACATTCCGGAGACAGGTACAGAAGAATTGACCAACGAGCACCATGCTCGAGGGATGCCCAGCACGACCAGGACCGCCGGGCACGACAGTATTTCAGGTCCCCATCCCTGTTCCCGGAGTGCAGTGACGAGGATGACCCCCGTGGTCCCCTGTCACAAGCCATCATGGAGGCGCCCATTCCCCCGGGCATGGAGAAGCCTTCACATCTGAAGGAATACGACGGAGTCGCGGACCCAGTCGACCACATAAATGGGTTCGAGGCCATGTTGCATTACCACAATGTCGGGGGACGCATCAAATGTCGATTGTTTCCCACGACCCTCAGAAAAGCAGCAATGGACTGGTATAAAGGCCTCGCCCCGGGATCAATCACCTCGTGGTGAAACCTGAAGAATCAATTCATAAGTTCATTCATTGCGTCTCGGCGACACCCAAAGACCGAGGCAGCACTCGAGGCCATCATCCAGAGACAGGATGAAACCTTGAGAGAATTTATCAATCGCTTCAACCGCAAATCCATACAGGTCCCCTGTGTGGACCACATGAAAAGGTACTTGCTGGAGAGGGGGCTCCTCCTCGGCACAGAATTTAGAAAGGCGGTGGGCATCGAACCACCCCGAACATTCGATGCCCTCCTCGAGAAGGCCCGGGCATATATGGATTACGAGGAAAGGGAGGCGGCCAACAGAGCCCGAGACCCCAGAACTCGCGGATCCAGCAGCAACCCGCGCCAAGAAGCCGCTCCTCCTCGACGAATCGGGGAGAAAAAAAAAGAGGACAGACCCCGAGAAGTCCGCGAGCAGAGAGGACCCTCCGGGCGCTTCACAGAATACACTCCGCTCACAGCTTCCCGCGAGCGCATCTTGGCGGAGTGTGCCAGTATGGACTTCAAAGACGGTGGCGTCAAACGCCCCCGACCTGCTCCTGCCAAACCCGGAGTAGACAAGAACAAGTACTGTCAGTATCATAGGAGTCATGGTAATCTGACTGAAGACTGCGTCCACCTCAAGGACGCCATCGAAACCCTCATCAAGGGAGGGAGGCTCGCCCAATACCGGCAAAACGACGCTCCTCGTCGTGAAGCCCGGGAGACGAAAGACCCGGAGGAAGACTCCCGACCATCTGACGAGTCGGTCCCCGTCCAAACTGCCTTCTCCGTCACCAGACCAGAGGACTTCTACGTCCCCGAACACCTGCAGGAGCCGCTCACGACACACAGCAGGTGGGAATACTTT